GCTCAAGCAGGAAGCGGGCCGAGCGCGCTGCTGTAGGCCTCGATTGGTTACAGAGGCTTGTTTATGGCGAGCGCTGCAGGTTTTGTTTAATATTCCAGAGGTCGAGTAGTTTACATCCGTCGATTTACAAGGCACGCTCTGTCGAGAGGCACCAGCCTCGCACCGAATTGCAAAATGATTGAAATCATTGGTGACAACTGGTGTGTTAAGTTTATTTTTGTCAGGTTTGCTGGAATGAAATGTTCCTTCTCCTTTGAGTGAGATGTCTTGGCTGTGCTTACAGCAAACTAAAAAAGAAAAGAAAAACCCTAAGGAAAACCACCGTTTTTATCCAGCGGCACAGGACACCCAGTTAAAACAAACGAAATAAATCTACTTAGGCCGTAAGATGATAAGGGCCTATGGGACAAATTGTTGGCCGCTCCTTACCCACCTGTTAGGTGTTTCGGCTTGGAGAGCTTGTGTTTGATTTTGTGTTTAAATGGGCCAAGGTACTTACAAAGGATGCTAAGGGGAAGAAGAAATGGATAGCTGCCTGTCCTGCTAATATGCAGAGTTCCTCTTCCAGCTGCTCAGCTGGAGACGTCTCCCTCAGCCCTTTGGACAGAGAGCTCAGAGTATATTCTGGTTTGTTAAACGTCCGTGCAGTGCAGGGTCACCCTTTGATCACGTACGCAGTCGCCTGCCGAGCTCAGCACCCTGCACTCTAGAAAGAATCTCCTGCTCCAAAAGCAGCACCGAATTAAAGCCCCTTATTACCATTTTTCATAGCCCCTCGATGTTTTAGGCTCTGGTTATATCACGCTGCTACAGCCCCTTCTCTGGGTTGATATCATCAAGGATGATGGAGTTAAAGCCATTCTGAGCGAATCTTAAGGAAACAAGATTTTCTCGCTGGGTGGCACAGCAGCAGAGTGGTCCTTTCCAGATGGCCGAAGGAGGAGAAAAGCAAGTTGATGGCTCATCTCAAGGTTGGTGGCTATTGCTGGAGAAGTTGCCAAGTGGTGTTACGGGAGCACCTGTGGTTGGGCTCAGATCAGTGGCAGGAAGTCTCGCTCAAAGGATTTCGAGTGAAAGAAAGAATGATCTCATGATTAGTCCGAGGCATCAGTCTGGGGCTGCGTTCAGCTTCCTGCTGTGTTGCAAGTTTGCAACGAGGATGGAGGCCCTTCAGAGAGCCACCCCAGGAGGGCCTGGGAAGAGGAGGAGGAGAAGGAGGAGGAGGAGGAGGAGGAGGAGGAGGAGGAGGGTGGCCTCTGAAAGGCCCCTTTTGGATCTTGAAAAGCGAGCGTACGCTTCAATGTCCTCACCTCGCATGGGAGAAATCAGAGGATGTCCCCCAAGCCAGCACCTACTAGCTTTGAGTCTTCCTCCACCCTGTGGGCCTATGAACAGCCAGAAAGACTTGTGTGCTCTAGAGTTAAGTAAGCAACAGATTGTCTCTATCTCTCCCCTCTTATCCCCACTGACAAATATAGTTACAGATTCAGTTAAATTGCTGTAGATTAATTCTGGAGAGCAGAAAAATGTGCGTGCATCTCTCCCCTGCAACCAAAATAGCTAAGTCTTGCATTTTGGCGGATGGGTCCATCCATCTCCACCGCTTCCAGGGAGGCACCGCTGGAGCAAGCTGAAATGAACTCAGCTGAGGCTGGTGCTTCGTATCACCGGCACCTTCCTAAAGAGAGCCTATTCCTCTGGGTGCAAAGGCTAGCCGGGCTCCAGGGGCTTCTCAAAGCTTAAGTTTAAGAATGTTATTATCAATCAGTGGACTAAAAATAGATTATTTGTGTTAGTAAAGAGGAGGCTTTCTGCTGTATACCGTGACCAAATAAGCACCCCTAGCCCGGATGCTACATGATCCAGAAGTCCTGCCACCCTCCAGTGAAACAGATGGCACTTGGTGGGGGGAGTCTCATAGCTTAGAGGTGGACGGCAGCTGGACAAAGATCTGCTTCTCTCCCAAAGCACCTTTCCTCTTAGCACAGTTATTTCGAAATAGAGGCTGTGTAAATAAGCCAATCACCCCAGCTGATAATTTCTTTTTCTTTGTGGAAGAGACCTCAGTCAGCAGAGAGAGAGGCTTGGAGAAACGTCTCTCTGTGTTGGGGAGGGAATCCTTATTATTTGCTTTCACCCTCGGCAGACTATCACTGCCATTTCCCTGTTTATTTCTCTTCTACACTTCAGGCCAGTTAATTATGTTCAGCAGTATTTGCCAGGCTCTGAATTTCTTTATCCATTACCGTCTCTTTGTTAAAAAAAAAAGAAAACTTCATAAATTTTTCTGTGATTGGAGGATGGTTTCATCTGTGCACATTTTTCTCTGTTGTAATTCACAGTCAAATAAGATGTACAATTAGGCACTGTGCTTTATGCAATCTTTTCCTTTTGTTATGCTGCTCCCCTGTAATTGTACCAGTCTGTCTTATGTGTTCACCTCTACTTCAGTTTGTTTTGCACAGAATAGACTGGGACTTCCTATTCCATCATTTCTTTTTTTCTTTTCGGACTAGATTTGAAGGTGCATTTAATTTTATGGATGAATCCAAAGATCAGTTAGTTTCCTCTTTCAAAGCAGGTCTTTGGCTATACAAACAGCAGCAAGTGGCATTTATTTAACCAGTCTCCATCAAAATGAAAGTTTATTGTAAACAGCTCCTCACTGATGTACAAGTCCATTGTGTACAGAGTTGAGCTGCCGTCTGGCTAAGTGTTTGTCTGTCGTGTAGCTAACATTAGTGTAAGAAAAGAAAATCAGAGCCATTTATTACTGCCAGCAGATAGCGTTGTCTCCATTACTCAGGTTGATCACCGAACAACTATGAGCTCAAAATGTGAAGAAACCATGAAAAAGGCAGATACAGCAGAGCAGAAGAGATGGGAAAGCCGTAGTCCCATTGCGGCACCAGTCGTACACTGTTCTCAAATACAGCTCTGGTTAGCTGTAGAAAAGTCTTTCAAGAAAAACTAATGGAAAGTGGAAGAGGTGCACAGAAGTGCTCCTAAGGTGCAGAGAGGATGGAAAGCCTCCCTTGGAGGCAGCAATGAGAACAGGTTTGCTTTTTCACCTCTCAGGAAGTGTATTACTGTTCATTATAATGCAGCAGAATCTAAATGCCAGGGATGGGGAGCTATTTATGGTAAAAAAAAAAACAAGGTTGGCATATAAAGAACCAAATATAAAACGGGCATGAATAAGTTTGGGATGCAAATTAGGACCTAATCTCTACCCTCACTGTTAGAGAAGTGAAGTTTTGAAGGAGCCACCAAAGGAAGTAAAGAAGGTAGAAACATGAACAGTTTTAATACAGCACACAAGTTTCTACTCGAGACTATGGGACACGATGCTTGCAAGGGCTGGACTTGACGATCCCGGAGCTCTCTTTCAGTCATATTGTTTAATTCAAGAGGAAGATGCCTGAGCGGGGCTGCCAGATTTCAAACATTGTTAATCATCCTGTGCAGGAAGTCATTTCTAAAGTGATACTTGAATGAGGGCTTGAACTCAGATATTTGGGATAAGCTTCCTCTAATTAGGACGGAATATATGATAACAGCATGTTACTCTTATTAGCAAAGCTACTTCTTTGGCTCGAGCGGCAGTGATTTGTGTTGCAGGAGAGAAAGTTCTAGACTCAGGTAGTATTGTTCAAATGCAGGGGTAAAAGCTGTGGGGGGGGGTATATCTTCATTGGCATTATGCCAAAAAGAGACGACGTGCTCCTGTGGTCCAGGTAAACGCAGGGACACCGCTTAATCCTATGAAACAGACTGGCTTTGTCATAGTGATTTGCACTAGTATTTTAAGTGCTTCTCAGTCTGGGATCAGGAAGACTCAAGATGGTGCTGTAGTCAGCTTTGGTTGCAGCGAGGCTAAGAAGCGCTGGAGGATTTGTTCTGACTCTGCTGTAGCGGTGCCATCAGCTCGCAGAACTAGCTTCATCAGACCCCACAAGGTTTGAGATTCTCAAGAGCAAAGGCTTTTTCAAGAGATCTTGGTGGGAGGGATGCAGGCGTAAGCCCTCCCTTAGGTATGTCTGAAGAAGTTAGTCCTGGCTCAATCATAATTTGGCAATGATATCCCCAGGTCTTGGTTGAAGATGGGATGAATCCCATGATGCCACCACCAGGATGTTCATGGGAAGGAGAACAGAGTCAGGAGTTGAGGGAGGCAGAGGTAGGATGTGAGGCTCACCCCATGCAACAGTTCAAATCCAGCATGGCACCCAACTTGTGATGTGCCCTTGGTCAAGTTGCTCTTTTGCTCCGAGTTTACTGCCTGTGAAGCAGAAATACCAGTTGTTTCCTGGCTCGCAGTGGTGATAAATAATGGATGAAAGTGTGTCTGCTCCCCAGGACTTTTGCACATGTTCTGAGTGCTGAATAAAGGGTTTTCTCAGTCGCATTTCTCCTCTGTGCACAAACAGCACCTTTGCTCAGGTACAGCTTTGGAGGCAGGTCCACCATCAGTTCATATCTTTTGCCTGCTCTTCAATCACTTCACTGCCTAAAAGCAGTGAAGCTCTTGTTTTATTAACAAGAACAAAGGTGGCCTCCCAGATGCCTCTGGTGGGATAAGGGCAGGCAAAGAGATTAAATGATTCACTGGAGATTGTGGGGAAGTGTGTGGTGACCAAAACGGAATAGCTTTCCTGTGAGTGCCATGCTTTGCCTCCTGAGCAGCTCTTCTTTTCTTACGCTGAGCAAAGCAAGATAAATGTTCCTGGAATTTGCAGCTACAGAAGTACCCATCACACAGCACTATTTTTCCAAGCAAATGTATTCTGGTGGTTGATTAAACCACTCAGATTCACTTTGGGGTTTAATCAATTGTGGTTTGTTGCCTCATATACTCCCCGATTATAGACGTTACTGCTCAGTCGAAGCTGGGGGAGAGCATGCGTATTTAGGATGGAAGCAGACAAGGTGCTGTAGCTGTTAAAGTAGAGCTGCACTGATTAAACATGTCACAGATTTATCCTCTCTTCTCTTGCTAGCCCTGTCTCCTGGCCAGGATGGCCATGCCAGTATGGAGCACCTTCCTGCGTCCGAACAGATCATGCAAAGCCTTAGCGAGCTGGCCAAGTCTTTTCAAGAGATGGCTGACCGCTGCCTGCTGGTTCTGCATTTGGAAGTCAGGTAAAAGCCCTGAATGCAGGGATTGCGGATGAACTCTGAAGGCTGTGGGCTGAGGTTGTGTCCAGAGGCACCTGTTACGGCACCTAAGGCAGACATATTTATCTGCTGTAGCATCTAAGTTCAAGAGAGCAGGGGTCATTCCGGAAATGCCAGATCTCGTTACCCTGGGAAAACCAAAAGTGAAATGGAGGCATGATACCGAAATTGGAAGTTCGTAGGGGGGCTGAGTCCAACACTTGCCTCTCTCCAGCAATTGTGTAGAGACCTATGGATTGGCAGCCCTGACTATTAAGTTTTATGAATCATTACTCTCTGATCTGGACTTGGCTGCTAGGTAGCTGTCTGTCTTAGGCAGCACTGTAATTCATCTATGTATGGACCCAAATAATTAGATTTTCCTGTCCTAGAAGATATTTGACTCTCAGTGAAGTAGAAGTAAGCGTGGCAATACAGGTCGTAACTGCTCTTCAAGTTCCATAAGTGCGGATCTCTTGGTCCTGATGGGGGGGACGGGAACACAAAAAAACTGTTGCTCTTCCCTTGTCCTCTTATGTGTCAGAGACTAGGAAAAATGAGTTTTCTGGGGCTTTGTTCTTAGAAAATTGCACAACGATGTTTTTATAATCTAACAGGTGTCTGCACATTTATCACCCATTGTGCTTTGGATTGCAAATAGGAGCTTTTCTTACTACTTTTTCAAATAGTAACAGACACTGGGGAAGGCGGTGAGTAGCAGCTGGATTTTTTAAAGGGCTGGATAATTTTATGATGTCTCTGACTACACATGCAAAGATCAAAGGCAGCAAATCTCTTTCTTCAGGCTGCCAGCTGTCCACTGTGGGGCTGGGAAGACATTTTTTCCCTCATGCATCATATTGGCCAGGTGTACTTTCATTGCTTCCCTTTCTCTGAAGCATCAAACAAAAGCAAATGTCAGAGGCAGGCAATGAGACTTGATGGCCCATCAGTCTGTTGTGCTGTGACATGTCCTGAGCCATATCGTATAGTGGTGTACATTGGCAGAGCTCTGGTGAAGCCAGTATGTAGCTTTGAAAAAAATACACATTAGTTATTGTCAGCAGCCCTTCAACCTGCTATCCATCATCTGCTGGCCACTTTATCGTAGGCTTTGCAGGTGAGCTGAGGCTTGAAGAACTTGAGAAAGAGATTGTTAAGGTATGGAAATGGAGCAGGTTTCCAGCTGAGATGTATTACCAGGTGATGCCAGAGCTGACCTGGACTCGTGGTATCGGCACCAGCCTGAACAGGTTTCTGCCCTGGGTCTGCTTGGGCTTCCTGTCGCACTGGACGCTTGAGTTGTAAGCAGAAGTAAGCGCAGATGCAGTTCAGGAAGAGTTTTGTCTGTCATTTTGAAACAGCCCATTGCCCATCTCCTCTAGCCTCCCGCTTCTCACAGGAGCCCCAATCTGATGCTGTAAATACACCAAGGCGCGTTACACTGCACAAGGGGAGAAGAGGAGTGAGAAGGAGGTATGCTAATGACCAATAAAATCCCCATTGGGGTTAGAGCTCCCCCCAGTTAGTCACCGTGCTTGCAACCACCTGGAGTAACCGTCAGAAAATCACACTCCCTCCGGTGGTGATTTTCCCTGCAATTACTGTGCCAGCTCCCAGAATCCATGTCATTTCCAAGGTGCATCAAATAGCGTATATTCATTCACAAAACCCCTATGCTTTAAACAAGTGCTCATAGTACGTTTTGTATCAGGCCCCTTGCTGTTGCAGGTGTAGTCTAGGAAAACGCGAGCAAACAGTAAAGCGGGTTTGAAACTACAGAACTATTTGCTTGTTCACGGCTTTGCCAGATGAGGCTTGGCACCTTCCTGGAGCTAGTTTCTCCTTCTCCAGGACCGTGTGAGCATGATCTGGGACCACTGGTCACTGACATTCGGGTTTAACAGAGGGGAGGCAAGCTGGTCCTTGCTTTATATCCACTTCCTTAAGTTAAAATCTTTTGGCACGTTCAGGTCAATAACCATTTCTTCTGTTAGAAATGCATATGGAGTTTTTACTACCAATTCTATGTGTTGTAGCATTTTTCTATAAAAAAAAACTCTATATAAAATTATATAGGAGCAGACGCTGAAGAATAGGAGCAGAGGTAAGCCACTGTATCTTTTGTGCCAGCTAGAAAAGCCTTGGGGTTACCCTAACCTGTTGCTTGTAAAGGTCACCTCAAGGACATTTCCCAAGAGGGCGGGGGTTATCAAAGCCAGGATATGCCCATCATAACTTCTCCCACCCCAACACAGCTCCCCGCTGCTTGGGTCAGTCCTGTGCTAACTTGAAGTCTCAGTGTACAGAGAATCCTCAGTTATGCTTTAAGTGCAGTTGTACAGCTTCACTCCAGCAATGCAAGGGATATCTCACTCGGGCTGTGATTTGGCCCTGTTTCCCAGAGAGATGATATTGAAAAGAACCCAAACCAACCTCCTGCCCTCAATCCCCCGTTGAGCGATGTAGGTGAAATCCAGGCATTACGGAAGTCAGGAGGAGTTTTGCAAGTGGACACCACATTTTCCTTCATAGGTTCTAGAGAAACAATTCAACACCCTCATTGTGGTTTTTTTGCAGAACTCTAGTAGGGGGTGTGAGCGCACAGAATTTTTCCGGTGATGGAAGGGGAGATGGGAGACCACACTGCCTACAGACCTTCTGCTGAGCAGGCAAACTGAAAAGGAAAAAATTGCAGTGGTGTTAAATGCTTGGGAATAAGCACAGCCTTGGCCTGCTAGTTATTGTTTCATGTCCCCTGGCTCACTCTTTTTGCCAGTTATAACTGTTATTAGGGCTTACAGCACATGGAAGGAAATTTCATTCAAGCGCCTGTATTGAAGTGCTTGCTGAACCAGCATGTGTGAGGTTGGAGAACCTGGTGAAAAGGCACTTAGCATTTTACCAGTGATAGCGTAGGTCAGATCTAATAATGAAGGGTCTTTTGTATTCATCTCTAAAGCTAGGACAGTGTCATGTTACAAGGAGGATGCATTTAAGGCAGAAATTACCTGCCATTTCTTAAAATCATTGTTATTTTTCACTTGGTGGAACATTAAAAGGAAAATAAGGAGGCAGTGTGTTTAAAACATCACCACAATGTATTCTGCTTGTTCTGTCTTTTTATTATTATTACAAGAAAGATTTACTTCCACAGGAGCTTAACTGTGCTCAGTAGCAGCTGTGTATCCCTACAACATCCCGTATATGTGGTTTTCCCACTGTGCAATCAGCAGCGCTTTTAGATGACCTAGTGCCAAAGTCAAGGTCAGCACAAACACGCTAGCGTTTGGAGGGGGAAACAACTGACTTCTGCCGCAACCTTAAACTCTTCTGAGGTGTTAAGGAGGTGCTGTTCGTCAGGTTCGGTTTGAGGACTGGCATGAAAGGCTGAGTTAATTATATAAAAGTTGTAAACGTTGAAGGCCTCCAGGGAGTGGTAATGAGTCGCATCAAAGCAAGCAGAAGAATGTAGGAAAGTTCACGCATCCTCCAGGGATCTTGGAGCCTCATGGTGAGTTGGGAGAAGGCGGTTTTGAGGTTGACATCTAGGCCATGAACAACATTATTCTCACAGAGGAATGGCCCCTGCAATTACCCTCCTCCTTACCAGTCTCAGCCGAGAAAACAAAGACAAAACAAGCAATGGAGGCCTATTCTGCTCCCTCGAAATTGTTTGCTGATACCTCTTGAGACCCCTGTCTTGGGGTTGATGGTTTTTCATCGCCTCCTCCGGAACCTGTGCAGGCTGTAGAGGATCTGAGCGTGTGGAGTTGTCAAGTTGTTGTTGCTGGCATTTCTGTTCATGAAAAAAAGCATCCTACTGCAGCAGTTTTCCCATCTGGAACCATTTTTGAGTATCACCCGCTGTCATTTTAACATGTTAGGGCTGATCTGTTGTGACATTTCTCTCTTCTGTCTCGTAGGGTTCATTGCTTCCACTATCTGATCCCGCTGACTAAACAAGGGAACTATGCCATCATTGCTAATGTGGAGAGTATGGATTATGACCCCCTCGTGGTCCGGCTCAATAAGGACATCAGTGCTATCGAGGAAGCCATGAGCGCCAGCCTCCAGCAGCACAAGTTCCAGTACATCTTTGAAGGTCGGGCATTTGTCAACAGATCTGCGGCTGCCATTGTCAGAGAGGAGTAATGGGAGGGGAAGAGGGAGGTGCTCTCTAGTGTTTGACACTATCAGGAGTTTGCTTCAGGTGACATGACTTCATTCTTTGCCCAAAGCCGAAAAGTATTCTTTTTTGGGTAAGACAGACCCTGGTAATGTTGCTAGCAACAGCAGATTGATAACTGAGACCCAGGTAAATGCAGGGCACTCAAAAACCCTGTTGCCTCCACACTGTTTCTGAGTGTATCTGGCTGAACAGGAGAAATGGTTTCATGATGAGCAGGAAAGCAGCAAGCTGATGAACATGCTGGACAGTTCTTCCATGGGAAGCCATAGGGCGTGCGTATATATTGCAAGCACAGCTCTAGTATGGCGCAGTTTATCCAAAGGGTAGCCATTCCGTTTCTAAAGTTAAATTTAGAGAACATTAGCTGTTCGGATGTCTCATCTGTTCTGATTACCTTTGAGAATATAAATCATGTTTTGGTTCATCTCCCCTGTATTTATTTGCGGTGCTGACGCACAGTTCTGTTGCCTATGTGGCAGGATACGTGTCATTTTATGCCTTGGTTATTCAAAGGCGGGAGAGGGTGGGGACTAGAGATGCTCCTATATCATATACCAGCAGGGCAGGAATCAAGGCTTTCATGGCTTGGTTAACCTCATAGTGCACTGCTTACTGGTCTGAGATAAGCTCTTCAGTATCTGTAAACTTCCCCCACATATTCATATAGCTGCCTGATGGTACAATTTTTAGTCCACAAAATACTTGCATTGAACAAGAAGATCTGAAAACGTGCCAAGTGCAAGACTGGAAAATGCATTGCCAAGGGGCAATCACATGTTGGAGGGAGGCAGAGCTGATCTTTTCTGAGCTGTGTAAATCTGTGCTAAACTGAGTGACCACCAGCACATTGCAGAACTCCCTCTTACAGATTAGGTCTACAGTGTCTGACCTGAGCAGAATGGCTCCTCACAGAGCCGTAGGGACCATTAGCCTCTCACCAGGCCAGAAGATTGAAGTTTCTGTACCTGGACTTTGTGAAGTGTAGGCAGCTCTTATGCCAGTTTTGAAATTTACATGTACCCAACCTTGGCTGGCTGTACATGAGCGTATTTTTCTTAATTCAGATTTTTAATCTTGCTTCGTCTTATACCGACCTCTGTGAGTAAATTGGGCATTTTTTTTTTCTAATTGTCATGAGGCCTGAGTGGATGCATCATTCTAGGGTGGGCTGTGACCTTTAGCAGCTGGTTGTGACTTTTGGCAGCGGAAGAAAGATGGAGACCTAAGATACTAATTTGTGAAGAGAACTCCTTAACTTCCGTGTTTGTTCTCCCAAAGCAACGTTTCTGTATAAGGTTTACAAGCAAATCCCAAATTTGTCCCCTAATCATTAGTCCTGCAGAAGATGTCCATATGGTATGGAGAGCCCATACCGCTGTCTTCTCAAACTGCTGGAGCACCCATGCTTTCACATTCAGAACTGGTCAGAGATAAGTTGTATGTTAAATGCATTGAAAAGCAGCCTGTATTTTCCCCAAAAGCTGGCTTTTTCTGCTGTCATGGACTGAGTGTTTACCAGGAAAAAATATTACCTTTCCCTTGATAATTGGTTAAAATACTGTAATTTTGTAGAAGTAGTGATCCATCACCCTGCTAGAGAAAGAGGACCAAAAGAGTCATCATCCAAAGCGTCATTATAAATCTAGTGCCTTGTAAATTTCTGAAAGATCAATGACTGTTAATGCAACTTTGAGTTTTCATGGTTATATTTTTACTAATGACGAAAACCTTGAGGAAAGCCTTCTCTAAATGCACAGGGAAGATGTTGAAGGCTGTTCCCAAATAGGTCCTATTGTACCTCCTGTTCCAGTTTACATGCACTACTTAACAGCGCTTGTTCACAGCTTTTATGATGAAATATTGTCACTAAATGTCTTCCTCCAGTGACCTTTGGGTTGTTTTCCCCTCCTCTCGCAGGCTTGGGCCACCTTATTTCCTGCATTCTTATCAATGGTGCCCACTATTTCAAGCGCATCAGTGAATCCGGCATCAAGAAAATGTGTAGAAACATCTTCATCCTCCAGCAGAACCTGACGAACATCACCATGTCCCGTGAGGCTGACCTGGACTTTGCAAGGTGAGCTGCAAACCCCATGTCATGTCTGCTACTACTTGGATGTCCGCAAGCGCAGCAGTGACTGCTTTCAGAGGTTTAACCATCCATTGTGCATTCAGCTGGTTGGATCGATAAAATGAAATTAAAATTGCAGAACTGTCAATCGTAGTATTCACATCCCCCTTGTTGTATGGGAGGTTTAGCTGAGATACGTTCGGAATAACAGGCTCTGAGCTCAGAGTGGAGATCCCACCAAAATGCTTAGGGCTTCCTGTTGGTGTGGTTCTCTGAAGACCTAAACCCAGGCAAGGAAAAGCTTCTAGATGTAGGTCTTGGGTGGAATTGAGGCTAGATGGAGCTTGATCTTGGATTCATTCTCAGATGAGTTACACTTTGGCTACATGCTGGTAGTTTGTTGAAGACTTAAACTTTCAGTGACTTATCGGAACAGTGTGCCTAAACCTAAGGGATTCCAGATGCTGTCTACCTTCAAGTTCTGTTGCTCTTGAAAATAATAGCAATACCAAAATAAAAATAAGACTGGACGTGGCATCTCCTCTTGCAAGTTCCTCACCCGTCTTGCTACTTCATTCACAAAAGGGAGATGGTTTGGGGAGTAAGCATGCTGATAAAAGCAAACACTAAACTGTGCCGACTTTGCAAATGGATCTAAGGTGATGAGTGCCAGCAGGGATGTATTGGCTAAGTCTCAGAGGCAGTAGCGGGTTCAGCAATGGGCAGCTGAGCCCAAGAAATCACCAGAGGAAGAGTCTGGAAGTTGCATTTTAAAGCATGTAGGTCAACTGACAAAGTTTTGCATGATGCTTGAGTTTGAATTACTGCAAACACTGGAAATCTTTGGTGTCACTGTTTGGCCATCGCTCGTGGAGACTAAATTACGAGAGAAACTTGACTCCCTCAGATGAGGGGAAGGAGGTATGACTGAGTGCTTCATTTACTTGGGCTCTCATATGGGGAATGATCTCATTATTGAATTAGTCTGTTCATAATAACATTGACATGGGGAAGTTATGAATGCTGAGGCCTGAGGGAGGCAGAAAGAGAGAGAGAGATCCATTACTAATTCTCCAAGGAATATAGTTCCCAAATTCAATCTTTCCCTTCTAAATGATTTTTTTTTTCCTTTTCAGTTGAAATGTTAAATAAATTAGCCCAGTTTTTCGCAGGCAGAACAGGGCTTGAGCATGTGCTAACAGCAACTGGCACCCAAATAATGAAACGCTGACCAAGCGCTACAGGATGTTGGCAGAGTAAGGCTAGCCATTTTCTGGAGAAATATTTACTGGAAGGGTTGAATAGCAGCGGAGCTGTGACTCCTAGTGCTGCATAATTTGATGTGGAGCTTGAAAGGACGGGCGAGGAGGGAACATGTTCCACCCTCCCGATCTCGCTTCCACTCTGTGATGGATGGTGTGCCAGACCAGCAGTTTTCAGAACATCAAACACGTATACCAGCCCTCTTCATATCCACGTTATATGGCAAATAGATCTTCTCCTGTGCCATTTTAGCTGCTGGGTACCATCATCGAGAGCTGTGGAGCTCACAAGCTGTACCAGAGCTTTTTGCACAGCAGCATCAGCTACCTTATGGTGCCTGTGATGCAGATTTCTCCCCATAATACAAATTCAGCAACCTTTTTTTTGGCTCTTATGACTGCATCGCTTCCCTCTTTCTTTTGGGGCAGATTTCTGTGATATAGGAGTATGTTTTATCCTTTTGTTCTTCAGATGACTCCTGAATGCTTATCCTGTGGATTTCCCTTTTACATAAACAAGTCATCTCTTGCATCTGAACCCTGCCCTGCTCAGCTGAATTTACAATTACCTGAGCAAGTTCTAATGCTACTCCAGGGATCCCAGTTACCAAGGTCTATTCAAACTATAAAATAAACATAACAGTTCACCCCCCAAAGCATAAAATAAGATCAATGTAGGATAAAAGTGATTTGTATTTCTGTGATATCTTTCATATAAGAATCTCTTGAGTGCTTTACGCCGTAGCTGACTATCAGTTTTGCCGTTTTGAAGCTGAAGAACAGAGACAGAGTGATTATTTCACATTTGTAAGCCGTGTCAGAGCTGACTGAGAAGTACTCACCCTCTCCTTCTCTCCTCCTGCCCTCCTGCCGGCCAGGATAACCTCGCTGCCTTGCTTCCAGGTGGGAAGTAGGTGATCATTACTGAATGGGAGAAAATATTTCTGAAGTGGGTGTAAGCCAGCTTGTAACACACTCTGCCATCTCCATGTCTGCTCTTTGTAGGCATCTGTCCTTATGCAAAAGGATTCAACATTTATTCTGATTTCTTTATGAAACTTGATTAAAAGAAGTCATAGGCTCCTTCAGACTGAGAAAGACGTTTCTTTTTTACCCACAGGAAAATAGTTTTTCTCAGGGTTTTATGGAGCTCTTTGCCCTCCAACTGTGATCTAAGTCGCCTTTGAAGCAGATTGACTAGTGCTTCTCCTGGACAGGCAGTTTGGTACCCCTGTTGCTCCCTTGCCCATATTTATTTGTCCATAAGAGTGTGATGCTGGCAGTTCAAGAAGCAAACAGCCACAATTAACAGTCGGTGCATTGGTCTTCTTACATTCTGGGACAGGTACTAGACGGTCCTCTTCTGAAAATGAACGCACTTAAAGTCTGATGTACTCCAGTTTACGGGAAAGACTGGGCCATTTGAGAGAGGAGCACAAGACTTCCAGGATTTTCCTGGGCATTGTGCTTTTGATTTTTTTTTTTCACTTTTGATATATTCTTCAAGGCTTTTTATGGGCTCCAAGGAGCACTGTGCTCCCCTTTCTTCTCTGTTTCACTTAATGGCTTAGGCAATAGAAACCCCAGTCAGGGAAGTCGGACGGTCTTTCTGGTCTTTCTCTTCTGAAGTGAGAATTATGTAGAAGATTCACAGTGAAATCTTAACCCATGTAACAACACTCACTGGTTCTGGTGTGACTCGTGCTGTTTAAACGATGTTTTTCAAAAGATCTGCAACCTGCAGGTGACAGCAGGCTCTTGCGAGGCTTGCTGCTTTGGGAGTGGTACCATGGCAGGGGAAGAGTTTGTTTCAGATGAGTTTTGCTTTTGAGATTCTCAGCTGAAGGTAGAGGTGGGCAGGGAATCTTGACAGAGCATCAAGAAGCAGAGCATGAGCATGTTGCTGTCGGAAAAAAGAAACTGCTAATTTCTGCAAGCTCTAGGAATGAGCTCTCCACTGGCAGGAGGAAGGGTAAAGTACACTGCTTCTGACTGCTGAGTTTGGTGCATTTCTCTGCATTGCAAAGTGGCTTTTGTAACATTTGCAGACTCTCCTGCTAATACTATTAACTTTTCCCCTTACGTGTGTGTACTATATCTAGGGCAGCAGAAATGCAATCAGTCGTTAGGGCTTTTACTACTGTGTTAAAGAAAAAGCAATATTTTCTTCCTGTATGTATTATCCAGGCACATACTGTGAAGTCTGGGATTGAGAATGTTTTCCAGATGCCTCCAAAATTTCAAATTTTCAGCTCCATATGCCATCTGAGGGATAAAATCCAACTCTGAATTTGGATTCCAGTTCAGCTCTTTTATCTTCTGCCTTCTTTCCTGCACCTCCTCTCCTTCCCCCCAAAAATACACCTACGTATTTACGCAGAGATTACGTCAGAGATATTCAAGACCAGTCTAGGTTGCTGGCTGAGACTTATCTTTAAATAAAAAATTTATGCAAGTCTTAGATGTTCATTTTCCATTGAAAAAAACACTGTGTTTTTCAGAGACATGGCAGTGATAAAATTGCCTTGTTCTTGAAAGTTAATTGAGTTGGTTGGGAGGGTAAGGGAGAGACCAATGATGAAATGTCTACATTTCATAAAACACAGTGTAATTTTGACCTCTGACATCAACAGTTTTAAGTGTAGCTGCTCTTCGTTATTGGGTCTGAAAGTGTAGTTCATCCCTTTAATGGCTTGCAGCATAGCAAACCAGCTGTGTCTGCATGCGTAAGAGTTTGATCGGAAATCTCCCCACTGCTGCCATTCAAGCTAGCGGTTGCAATGATCACCGTTGAATTGGGTTTGCTCTCCATCGTTCGTTGTTCAGTATTAATCACTCTGGCTGTGTAAAATACTCTCCACAAGACATTGACTGGAGGCTCTCAGTTCTTCAACTGCAGAAAAGAGAAAAATGACCCAGGACCTTAGAGGCAGAGCTGAAGAGATTTGCACAGGAACGTAGGGGAGCTTGTAAAATATGAGGGGACACTTGGTTAGCATCTGGTGTGTAAATCCACGTGAAAGAGCTCAGTTAAGGCTAACTAAGGAGATGCACAGATTAAAAATGTCTTCTGGGAAGGTAGCAGAACCTCTTCTTATGTGAGAGCCCGATTAACAGGACCTACAAGGACAAATGCTCCCACAGGGATCAGGAAATCGCTTTTCCTGCTGCTAAAGATGTTACCAGGACCCTTGGTTATGAACGTCTCTTTCTAATAGATGTGGCACATACGTTGCCACTGCTGGCAGATCCAGGCGACTCTGGAGAAGCCCCCAGTGAAAAGGGCGCTGGAAAGAGCCCTCAGCATTGCAGACGTTTATTCATACGTTGGCCATGAGTAAGCCCTTGAAGTGTAGTTCAGATGCCTATGATCAAATGTATCTGTCTGTACACAAGGGCCGCCTTGAATTTTTATCATTCACGAAAGATAATGACCTTTGCTCCCGCTTCCCAGCAAAATACAGCTGCAGCTGCTGCTCCTGACCTTGTTTCTCTGTCTGTGTGCTCTCCTGGTGACACACATGAGGCTACAATGTACATGTGCTTGCTTGTATTTTTATATTCTTGGGGCAAGTAGCTTCCCTGCATCCATACAGCCACCTGCAGACAGGAGACAGGAGAGTCAGGAGAGAACCGCACCGGTCATGGTTCTGACTTTAAAGTGAGTGAGAGCTAGCAAGGAATTTGTAGAAAGCCACGGGAAAAATTAAGGCCAGTTCCCCCAAGCAGACCCTGGAAACACTC